AAGGAAAACGGAGATCATTAGCCACCAGGGGGCGGGCTGGTCACGGTGACCCAACTGAGTAGGCAAAGTGCAGGTGCACAAAAGATGAAGGGACGGGGTAGGACGGTTATGGTAGGAAGGGCTCTGAATATACATTGGAGTCCCTTGTGATGCCACCGACCCGCTGAATAACACCGCACCCCTCCAATGGTCAGTGTCCTCATCTGTGAGGTGAAGGGGCTGGAGTAAGTGTGCTTTGGGGTCCTTCCAGCTCCAGGATTCCATTGCCCTGTAGCCCCAAAGAAGTTTGACCCAAGAAACTAGTGTCTGAACTCCAACACCCCTGCCTGATGACCACAGATTTTAAAAATCAGCAAACAGGGGAGCACTTAGAGGCTAGTACATTTCACCTGAATCTCCTGTTTCAACCTTCTTCCCAGATTCCTCCCAGGAAGTTACATAATGGCCAACAACTTCAATTTCAACCAAAAACAAATTATATTTTATATTGTCCTAGAGATCATCTGGTGTGTCCACCCTGGTGATCTTACGTGATCCTCACATGTAAGAAAGATGTTATCTGCCCCATTTTTTCCCCGAGCTCCAAATTCTCAAGTCAGTGGAACTCCCGTCACAACATGTACCTCTAGGTTCCCCTCCCCACGGCCCCTCGATGCTTTTGAAACGCTACCCACGCCCTGTCCCTGGGGTTCCGGCCACTGAAACATTCCGATGGAGACAGATACTATATCAGATAGGAAGCAGCAGAAGAATGAGGAGAAATACGGAAGGCAGTCAGCTTGGTAGCCTCTCGTCTTTCCTCATTTCTGCACAAGTCATTTCCCACTGTCTTCCGTGCAACGAATAATCCCTTACCTGTGCCTGGCACTTTTTACCCTGAACAGGGCACACTCACTCCCATTTTCTCACTTGAGCCTCACAACAACACCCTGAAAATAGCTTGGGATGTGAGGCCAGTTGGGAGATTGATGAAAATCCTGGCTCCTCCACTTTCCCAGTGCCGGGCAGTTTCCTCTACCTTCCTAATCGTCACCACCACACAGGGCTGTGCTGAGGATTACCTGAATTTTGATGTGAAGGCTTATCCCCAAACCTGCTAGGTATCGAGGACTCGATAAAAGTTAGTTCTTCTTATTCTTGCAAAGGGACTCTCGGCTCCATTTTAGAGACATGCCAGAGAGAAGCTCAGCGGTCGAAATGATGGACTCAATGTCATACAGCGAGTGAGCGGAGAAGTCTCCTGGCTCATAGCTATTGGTTTTTAAAATATATGTCCAGCAAGAGTCAAGAAAGCCTTTCTTAAGGTTGCAGTGTGCTGTGGTCATGCGGATGGTGACAATGACGGTGGCGGCAGTGGCTCATGCCCCCCATTTTAGGAAACCGGAAAGAGAAGCCCTCTTGCATCAGACTGCCTGTGCAAGGAAATGTCAGCAATCCATCAACTGTCTCACTTCCACTGTGCCGCCGTGGTCGCTGAGCCCCAGAGCCACGAGGGAGAGAGTAGAACCCGATGTTGACAAAGCATGTGTGTTGGCCCAAGAGGAGCTGAGTTCCAAACTCAGTTCTGTAACCAGGAACAAGTCACTTTGTGTCTCTAAGCCCCAGTATCCATATCTAAAATGAGAATCATAAAGCCCATCTTAGGCAACGGGTGAGAGGATTGAGGGAGATAATATGGTTAAAGCATTTAGCACAGAGCCTGGCATAGATCAATTATTGAAACAGGTAATAACAGTAAGCACTCTTCTCCCAGAGAATAAGCCATTCCTTTGAAGGTATTGAGACACTCTCAGGGATTTCACTATCTCTCTGGAGTCTGAGGGGAGCCATTTTGTTCTGTGGGACATTTGAAAATGGATAGTGTTGAAACGGCTTCCCAGAATGCTCTGCTTGATGCAAGTTGCTTATCAGCCGAGAGAAAATGGAGGAATAATTAGTGCGCTCCTCAAAGCCGCTCTGCCTTTTACATCCACAGAGCCACCCAGCCCCGGCAATAAAACCTCCCTGGCCACATTCGAAAGACTGTACTGGAGACCCCCGCTTCCCCTGTCAGTTTCCCCTCCAGGCTTGAGGGCTTCAGAGGGGAGATCCGTCCTTCCCTGGGCATCTCACCCCCGAGCTCGGCGCCCCAAAGGTTTGCGGGATGAACGTTCGCTGAATGAATGAACGCACAAAATCAGCATTTTTCTCGTATTCTCCATTAAAAAACCAAAAAGCAAACCCCAACTTCTCTTCTCCCCTCTGGACTGCGGTATTAGTTTCCGATCCCGTCCACCCACGCAGCTCCAGCCCTCCCCAGCGTCTGCTTCACGAGACCAATCCTATTACAGCCTGGAGAACAGCAGCAGGCCCAGCCTTCAGGAAACGGAGCTGGAATGACAACGAGCTTTGCGGCTCCCACCTCCCAAACCAGAACATTGACTGAATATTGGCTGTGAGTCATCTGATATTCTTGTGAGCTGCAGGGGCCCGCCACACGTCTCCGATTGCACGGTTCCATCTGACGAGAGCGTCATTCCAAAATGCCTCTTTCAAATGGCCCACACTTGCCCCTGTCACTCCCTCTCCAAGTGACGGGACAGTGCCCCATTTAGAGCTCCTCTGTTCCCATCTGCAAGGCATTCTATAACCCCGCAGAGCGCCCCCTTTCTCGTGTCCCATCATTGGGACCCTTTGTCAGCCCCGCAGCCCTCACCCCTTGAATCAATGCCTCATTGTGGCTGAGCCCTCAGAATCCTCGGTGGGGGAAATAAAAAGACGAAAGTCCCTGGTGATGCTGCAAAGAGCGAAGGGGCTAGCGGCGAATTAGGATTCCAGCCCTGTCGAGCAGGAGGGATTGGGGACAGAGGCCCTCTGAGGCGCATCAGTGAGCTGCCTGGCACCTGCATCTCCTGA